TGGTGGGGTGAGACCCTTTGTCCAGGGTGGGACACACACACACACACACGCGCACGTGTTCGTTAATGAAATGTGAAAGTGAAAGAGGCATGTCTAAGTTCAGGAACCTGAGTAACTCAAGGTTAACGGCTTAGCTGTGCAAAAGCATGAGTTGTCAGTGTCGCGCGTGCGTAAGTATAACAACAGCCCTTCTGCAGTTGTAATAGTGAACTTAACTCGAAAAATTGTTAACCAAACCCACCGTCAATGTCAACAAATCATGCAAGATGAGTAGGATCTGGGGGAGGCACGATCTTCCTACCTGAACAACTCAAAATACCAATCTACCTGCATATTTTTAGACCGATCTATCTACCTATAGTGATGCTGCAGCGGTTCATTTTGAGGCTTGTGGTTCTTCAATGACGACAACAAAGAAGATGAAAAATTTCTCGATGAATACAATAAGGTGCTTCACCTACTACGTTGTTCTGTGGTCGCTGGGTTTGGCACCAAATTGAAATCGTTGTAATCTCACACTTGAGCCAGGTTGCTGGCGAAATGAAGGGCATGGCAAAAGTTTGTGCCATCAGCTGCAAAGAGTGCGCCGGTGAAACTCTGTTTGAACAAATCAGGTTTGGTTGCGATCCCGACCATGCAGGTACTCTGTGTTTTGCGAAAAGCAGGGTGTCAAGGCCAGCAAAAAATGGAGTATGATAGCACGAATTTGCACTGCTTTTCAAAAAGCTGGGATTGCTCAGGAGACTCCAACCGTCATGATCTACCCTCCAAATCCAGTGCCGGCGTTCAAGATTGACGGCAAACTGGAGGGGAAGGCTAGCTCAGAACAAATGTATCGAAAAGGATGTTGCAGGATGTGTGTTTTGTTCTTCAGAAACCATTTTGGCAGCATTGGCTTTGTTTCGTTTTGTTTTATTTCATCAGGCTGTTTTCAACAAGTTGGCCAAGTTTATGCCTGACCAGACCGAAAGGATCACGAAGGTTGCAGTTGAGAGTGCTAGCTGGTAAGATGCAGCTCAGCATCCATGCAAGGATAATTTGGACAAGTTCCTCACAACAGAGGTCACAAAGCCCAAGGCTAGAACTCAATGATTGACTTGTCATAAGGAATCGTTTTTGAAGCAAGTTCCGCGTCGAAAGTAACGTTCTTGCTACAGGCTCTCCTTTTCTCGAACAAGAAGTCGGTGCCTCTCATTTGGAAGGCCAAACAGGGCATTGTTTGCCCTGAGCAAGAAGATACTGGCTGATTAAGACATGATTGCCATGCAGCTGATTCGGCTGCATCAGGCACTGTCCTCTGAAACAGATGCTTGGCAATTGAATAAATAGAGCGGGGCGTACAAAACCTTGAAGGCGGAAATTTACTTTGACCGCACCTTACTATGAACAAGGATGCTTTAGAAACAAGAAAACACATTTTCTTTCTTTCTTTCTTTCTTTCTTTCTTCTCTAGACCTTTCTTTTTCTTTCATGTCATTTTTGTTTTACTTTTCTTCCGACCCTTCTTCCTTTTATTGTGTTTATGATTGTTTATGTTCTATTCTTTCCTGGTCTGCTTTCTTTTATATTTAATAGATGACAAATCTTTGTCCCGCCCGTCACGAGGTCTTCAAGCGCACTGTGAAGTTTGGCATTGTGACTGAAGATCAAACAGACATTGTTCAACGGTACAAGGCCTGGCGGCCGCCTGGCTGTGATTGAGATTTCATCCTAAAGCCTACTTCTGACGTTTTTTATCCAGAGTCGATTGGCCAGGTCAAAAAGTTTCCCACAGCCACGGGCTTGTTTGGCCAGCACCGACTCGTGGTTTTACCCATTGCCGCTGCTGTTTTTTGTTTTTGATTTTGTTTTACCCGCAGCCGGTGCAACGAGGTCATCATCCAACAAGGTGCCAAGGGAGAGAAGAAGGCCGATCCCAAAAACAGAGAAGAAGGGAACTCTTGAAGAACTCTTTTTCATCAACTTTCTTCAGGACACGTACACCGGTGAACTGAAATTCCTGCCGCTCAAAGACTGGGTCAACCTGCATTCTGAGTCTGGCATGGGTGGACCCGGCTGGTTGATTTCTGATTTCTTTGGTCACCCTGTGAGACCGAATTGTGCCGATTGTACAACACAGACAACACAAACGCAACAAGAACGCCCATTTGCACGTCTCCAGAGATGCCAAACACGCCTCATCTCCAAGAGGTGACAAAGTCTCAAGCGCTGGTGGCGCCAAAGAGGAAAGTGTGGAGGTGCAGAGTAGCGCATTTTTTGTGCCTTGCGACGCCTTGCGAGACGTCAAGTGTCAAAACCATATGGGGAAGGGTCAAAACCTGGAGCTCACGGGACCCTGCTAGGTTGAGGATTGGCTGGTAGGTCAAGCGTTTGGTATCCTAGTTTTGACCCACAGTCATATGTTTGATTTTGCCTAGCGAAACGTTGATGAAATCCAGGAAGCGAAGCCTTGGTTGGTGCAGGAGGTGTGGTGTGGCGAATCTGTTGAAAATGCTCGAAGCGGGAAAGAGTTGACATATTCACGAAAGGTCTACAGAGTCTACAGTCAAGTTTCCCTGAACATGTAGGAGCCCAATCAATCACGAAAGGGCTCTTCGTCCAAGCCTAGTAGCAGCCCACAAAAATTATTTTAAGACCTACTTACCCTTCTTACTACACTAGCGACTTCTTAGCTACCTCTTCATGGTATGACATTTGATGATGAGGACATTTGAGACGACTCACCTCAGATGACTCACCTGTGAGGTGCCTGAGCTGACTGCGAAGTCACATCAGGCGACGCTTCCAGCGCGTCAAGAATCCTTTCCAAAGTGAAGAATCCTTTCCAAAGTCTTCAAGTATTGTTTATTTCTTTCCGTTCTTTCTTCCCTATAGGTTGGAGGCCATCGCTAGTAGGTTGGAGGCCATCGCTATTAGGCTGGAGGCCATCGCTACTAGGCTAGGTTTCTGGTTCAGTTTTGTTTGGAAATGCAATATACCAAGAGACGAATGCAGGATGTTTGCTTCAAGGGCGAGGGCTTGTGCGTCATCTTTCTCAAGGAGCGCAAGTGTGATTATGACAGTGCGGGATTATGGGCCTACTCTTTACACAGTCAGGATGGTGAGGCCTCGCCAGCAGAGATTGAGATGCTGACAGGCAGACTCGGCTGGTTTTGCAATGGTGCATTGGATGCGCGTCTTCATGGCAGGTCTATCCAAGAAGTACACTTCACAGCTCTCGGACCGTGGAGCCAAGATGAAGTGGTCACTCGGTATGAGTTCTTCCATTTCGGCCGCCTTTGAGGCCTTCTTGACCGTTGTTTTTTTGGCCAGGATGTGGATGAATTTGGCCATCGAATCTGCGTACAAGGACCGAAGAAGGTTATGTTTTCGGGGTTTGAGACGCTTCTACCGTGCTTGAGCCCAAAAGCAGGAGCTTTTTGCACCGGCTCAACTTCCATCGGCTGCAGTTTTCAACCCTCACAAGAGGCATGACATATCATGACATGCTACCAGCTATTGAAGAGATGGTTCCAGCTCAATAGTGCTGGTCACTGGTGTTTGAAGCTTTTTGGAGTTTGGCGAAGAAACGTTGCAGGCTCCGCTTCACCCTACTTGACCACGGTGAAGAGGGCGAGGCCGAACCCCAGCAACGTGCCATCCGGCCCGTCAACACGTTGAGTTGTGGCGGTCCGTTGTATATTTTTGGCAAGGTCAAGGGCGATGAGCAGGGAATCACGAAGCTTTTGGACAAAGTTCTAGGCTTTTTCAGCTGCACTGGAGCTTTTGGATTAGCTTTTCTTGACCAATTTGATTGTGCACCTTATTTTTTCAGATCTTTTTACAGCGAAAAGAGTCGTGGCTTAGGAGGTGATGCACGCTTCACCATGGTGAAAGGGCAGAAGCTTCCTGCGTGGGCGCAACGAGAAGCTGCCAAGAAGGCCTTGACTTTTCGAGCCGATGAACATTCAACAGAAATTAACAGGCTGTTATCATGGAAACATGGCTGATCTCTTTTCGCGTCCATTATATATATATATATTATATACTTAGTTATATAATATGTATATATATATATACTTGAGGCCAAGGGGGGGCGAAAGCTAGCGCTCCAGAATGGGAAAGTGGAGGGCAGCGAGGTAGGAAAAAAACACGGCGCTCTTTTTGGAGGCAGTCGCACAGAGTAGCAGAAGGCAGGACGCCTTGCACAAGTTGGGCGGGGCAAACGATTCCAGGTGAAGAGTCCTTTATATGTGGCTCTTTGCCCGGATCCTCCTGCGAGAGAAGAGAGGGAAGAGAGACGGAAAGACGAGAGACAGAGAGGAGAGAGAGAGAGAGAGAGGAGAGAGAGATGAGAGAGAGATGAGAAAAAAAAAAAAAAAAAAAAAAAAAAAGATGAGAGAGAGATGAGAGAGAGATGAGAGAGAGAGAGAGAGAGTGAGAGTGAGAGTGAGAGTGAGAGTGAGAGTGAGAGTGAGAGTGAGCGAGTGCGGCCGCAAGATACGCAACGCTAACCGCATGCCAAAGAGCGACGACAGGACGGAGTCGAACTTGCGAAGAGGGAGGAGGGAGGGAGGGAGGAAGACAAGGAGGAGGAGAAGGGGAGGTGGGGAGAGGGGGGGGGAGGGCTTCGACCTGAAAAATCAGGGGTTAGGATTTGCACCCGGTCGAAAGAAACCTGGCTATCGCAAGAGTAACTCCAGCTAGCTTCGCTAGCTTTCGTGATAGGTCTGATAGGTGTTCTTAGTTTTCCTTTTGGCCGGAGGGTTGTGTGCACAGCTTCCTTTTGGAGGCAATATGCGGGGGATTGCAAAGAATGTCCATGGGGCCTTTTCGCCTAGAACCGCACTTTGTTTGATTTGATGCTGTCAGAAGGCAGAGCTCTAATGGGGTCAAGCGCTTGACCCTGACCTGAAGCGTTTCACTGCGCAATTAGGGCGAAAGGGGACGGACCGCACCAATTCTATCCCAACTGTCCCAACCTTTTGCTTTATATAAGGTGAGAACAGGTTGATGGGGTTGTAAAGCAATTGAATCAATGTTCGGGTTTTGCCAAAGCAGCTCACGATGCATACATGAACGGGGATGAATTTGTGCGACGGCGATGTGGTCCCAAGAAAGGCTAAAATAAAGCCACCTAACGATGCCCAACGATGCAAAAGTGCAGGGCTAACAGTTTGACCTGCCAATGGGTGGTCGCTATGTGCGTTTTCCTGAGAACAGGCCAGGGAATTTGGTGCCTTCCTTCCGTTGCTGAATTTGCTCTTGGAAATTCGTTGAATACAAGAACCAGTGGTTTATTGTTTACACTTCTTGTGCTTTGCAATGGAAGGCTTAGGGCATGATAGTCATAGACCGTGCACGCTGCTCATTCCAGAGCAGGCACATTTCCAGAGGAAAAAGATAATGAGTTGAATCGTTTTGGTGCCATTGCTGCCGGAAACTGGCGATGCTTCTTGATCTGACCATACTTTGAATAACTTAACGATGAACCTGACTTTGCTTGTGCAATAATGGCTGGCTTGAGCCGGCCATTCTTGTAATTTAGGCGACCGCCAAGGCCCTGTCAATGTATGCAATGTCGAAAGGCTGAAATGTATGCTTAATCCTCACCAAGGTGCCAAAGCTATGTTTGTAGCTGGACCCCTTGAGTCCAGCGGCTAGCGGCGCATTGCAAGACCAAGAAAGACCACGTCGAATGAAGGAGCTTTGTGCCCAAACATTTCAGGTGTCGCAACGGGCAACCGATCAGCGGTCAGTCCTATATGACTTTTGAAGAAAACACATAGGAGCGATCGGACGCTACTAGGGGCTCCTGGCCGTACTACTAGGGCAAGAAGCTACTAGGGGCTCGAGGCATCGCTACTAGGAGCAAGGACGCTACATGGGCTCCGTTACAGAGTCCACTGTCAACATAGTCTAGGGTCTGGTTTGGCGGCACTTCCAAGTCAAAGGGCCCGACAATGCGCAGAGGTTCAGTGTAAAACTGCCCTCGCAAGGGGTACAGTAGTCGTATGTACTGGTCAATGTTTGCGCTAATCTATCTGAAGATGTCAAGGGAAATCCATCTGGTGCTGCTCCGGCGTACCCTTTGATACTCAGATTCTCGACTAGCGCGTTGTCTTTAGCTTGTCTTGCTTTGCACGAGCTTAGGAGGGGAAAAAGTACCATGGTCGGCCTTTTTAGTGTAGCAAAGTCCTCGGAGTTTCATCACATTTGGAACTCCCAGCCTCGTCGGATTTTGATACTTTGGATTCCCAGAGTGATCGACTCATTCACGAGCTGGTTGCACCCAGGTCGAACCCTTTGGTCCTTTTGCTGCGACCGTGAAGCCGTTGCTTGGTATCTGTCTCTTTCTGGGTTGGTCCGTGCTTGTGGGCAACGAAGGTTTGTGGCATGCGAAAGTCGCTCGAGAACTCGCTCAAGAACTCGTCTGCTTTCGATCGACGCATCCCGCGAAAGTGCTCTGCCTCCTCTTGCGTGGTCCACGCCTCCTGCAGCTTTCTTTGGAGCGGTCCGCCCAAAAAAATAGCGCAGTATCCGCTTTGCGCTGGATCGAACCATCTTTATCCGCTTTCCCTGGCATTCCGTGGGTATCCTGGGATGGAACCCAATGTGTACCTTGGTTTGTTGGGAGTTGGGCCTTTACTATTGCAGATCAGCTCAAAGATGAGTCCCGCCGAAACCCTTGAGAATCCTCGATTCTGGAAAGGGTTGGGTTCAGAGACGTTTGCCTTCATGAGCTGGCGCTGTCCTCCTGGCATCCTTCTGTCTTCTGCCATCGCTGAGCCGTGAGCATCCAATTTCAGTGACTCTGTATACATGTCTTGGAAATTTTGACACGGTGTTGAAGCATTTAGTTGGCTTGGCATGCTCTTTTGCTCTTGCGCACGCCATCGACATAAGTCTGTAGCCGCAGCATTGAATTATGATTTTCGTGCAGGTCGGGGCTTCGCAAAATCAGCCCCCATTTCGGCCGTTTTGTCAAAGGTCTCAACTAAAGGCTGCACAAGATTCCAAAAATCCTTGGTATTGGGGTCCGTGTGCGAAGCAGGAAGCTGACTTAGCCTAACACTTCCGCTAGGGCTCTACAGACAGAAAATTGGCGGGTATTCTTTCAACGCCGCCGTTCTGAGAGCTTTACCTTGGTGTTAAATCGTGTCAGTGGGCCCTCTCACATGAATACAAAGGGGAGTGATGCAACACGTTTCAGCAGCTCACGGAGCTTGAGGAAACTAGTTCTTCCAACAAATAGGGATCAAAATCAGCAATCGCACTGGTGGCCTCACAGGATTTACACAGCTTGGATATTCAGGATTTACACATTCCGACTCCATAGTGCCGACGCGCTCTGCCAGCTTCATGGAGATATTTGCATGCTTGCATCTCTCCTTCCTTCGCTCCTCCAGTTTGTGCTGCCGGGGAGATCCTTTTTAGGATGCTGTTTCCATGTATCGTATGTTCTTTTTCCGCAGATTTGACATCAGAGTGGATCGTGAAAAAGGAGGCCGAAGACGTTGCTGCCTTTAAGTCACTCGTTTAATTTTGGGGGTCTTGGCATTGCTCGACGTTGCTTTGGAGTCCGCACGCGTTTGCAACCTGTTTCAAGCGTTTGTTTGGTGGGTGGATGAAGCGTTCGATTTGTGTAGATTTGCGCGAAGCAGCGTGGAAATGTGACTTTGGAGGGTGTGGCAGGTGTGGTTATCTTTTTATTTTGGGGTCTTCAGATGAATCAGCAGGTTCCGGAGCAGGTTGCGGAGCATGTTCCGGAACAAGTTGCGGAGCAGGTTCCAGAGCAGGTACTGGAACATTTTTCAGGGCGCATAGGTTCCGGAGGAAGTTCCGGGACAGACGGGTGCAAGTTGCCAAGCAAGTTCCCGAGTGCTACTTGCTTGCATGATGTGCTCTGTCACGTCGACATTCATGTTGTCATGCTAACGGGCAGTGCAAGCAGGTATTCGGGCCCGGGGCCCGGATGACTTGTTCATTGTAGCATTGCAATGGCGACGTGGAGACACGCTAGTGCGCTCGCTACCGTGCTGACTTTTGTCGTGCTGGCCGGCTGCACACACCCTAGCAGTGGCAGGCTGAAAAGCTTGCCTGGGAGTGGGTTCCATGGGCTTTGCTCGGTGTATGCGCGAGAGAGAGAGAGAGAGAGAGAGATACCTCACATATTGCCACGTGGCGTGGGTTGCTGCATGCCACATGGAGCAGACCCACATGTCTCACAGTAGCGTTGTGTGGGGTGTTAGTGGATGTGCAGTGTTGCCATTGCCCTTCAGGTGCGTGGTATGTGCGGTTGTGTCTGAATTGTGAGCGCCTGCCTTGCCTGCCTTGCCTGCCTTGCCTGCCTTGCCTGCCTTGCCTGCCTTGCCTGCCTTGCCTGCCTTGCCTGGCTTGCGTGGCTTGCGTGGCTTGCTTGGCTTGCTTGGCTTGCTGGGCTTGCTTGGCTTGCTGGGCTTGCTTGGCTGGCTTGGCTGGCTTGGCTGGCTTGGCGGGCTGGGCGGGCTGGCTGGGCGGGCTGGCTGGGCTGGCTGGGCTGGCTGGGCTGCCCTGCCTGGCTGCCTGGCTGGCTGGCTGGCTTGCTTGCTGGCTTGCTTGCTGGCTTGCTTGCTGGCTTGCTTGCTTGCTGGCTCGCTTACTGGCTTGCTTGCTGGCTTGCTTGCTGGCTTGCTTGCTGGCTTGCTTTGCTTTGCTTTGCTTTGTTTGCTTTGCCTTGCTTGCTTTGCTTTGCTTGCTTTGCCTTGCTTGCTTTGCCTTGCTTGCTTTGCTTTGCTTGCTTTGCTTTGCTTGCTTTGCTTTGCT